CACTGCAAGGAGGTGAAATTGAAGATCGGTTAACATCTGGCAAAACCTACCTGATAATGAAAGATCCAACAAAAGGGGCAGCACCAGGCAACCACAGGCCAATTATCATCTTACCAACAACTTTCAAATTGCTAACTCATGTGATAGCTGATTCAGTCCAACAGCATCTAATTGAAAACAAGACCAGAAAAATAATGACAATCATGCCTTTCATCTGTGCAGCGACATTGACAGACGCTATTTACCAAGGAGCATAGGTGGGTGTGCAATCTTGCACGTACATCAGACTTGAGAAGACTAGTTGAAGAAGAAAAAAGGGCATTGGAAGAATATCTGAAGGATGGTGAAGAAGATGCACTGAAGCTAGCACACCATGAAGGCTTACTGAATACCAAAGAAACTGAACTGGCCTATAAGAAAGCCCAAATGCAGAATAGAAAAGAGACATGGCAAGGCAAAGGATTACATGGCCAGTACACAAAAAAACTAGCAGGCAAACTAGGTAACAACAAGACCTGGCAATGGCTAAGACAGGAAAGCTGAAGAAAGAAACAGAGGAGCTAATTCTGGCTGCACAAGACCAAGCCTTAAGAACAAATGCATACAAAGCCAGAATTGAGAAGACAGCAACAGACAGCAAATGCCGCCTCTGCAAAGAAGCTGAAGAAACAGTGGACCACCTAGCTGGCTGCTGCAAGAAGATCGCACAGATTAACTACAAACAACAGCATGAAAAAGTAGCCACAATGGTGCACAGGAATATCTGAAGAAATACCATTTGCCTGCAAGCAAGAACTGGTGGGACCACAAAACAGATAAAGTAATGGAAAATGAAGAAGCTAAAGTGCTCTGGGACTTTAGAATTCAAACAGACAAGCGCCTGCCACACAACACCCCAAACTTAACAGTTGTTGATAAGAAAGACAAAAATGTTTGGATAGTGGACATTGCAATACCTGGAGACAGCAGAAGAGAAGAGAAAGAACTGGAGAAAATCACAAAATATAAAGACCTGCAAATAGAA